GGGGTGTCAGAAGTCTACCTGTGGCTGTCCCAGGGTGTTGGAACATGTGGCTGTCCCGGGGTGTTGGAACATGTGGCTGTCCCGGGGTGTCGGACCCTGTGGCTGTCCCGGGGTGTCGGACCCTTTGGCTGTCCTGGGGTGTCAGACCCTGTGGCTGTCCCGGGGTGTCGGACCCTGTGGCTGTCCTGGGGTGTCAGAAGTCTACCTGTGGCTGTCCCGGGGTGTCGGAACATGTGGCTGTCTCGGGATGTCGGAACATGTGGCTGTCCCAGGGTGTCGGAACATGTGGCTGTCCATAATCTATGCCTTTTCATGTCATTCCAGCTGGTTGAACTGGCCCTGTTAAATGTTCTTTATTTCCACCGTCACTGAAACGTGTTTTCTTGAGCTGATGCCAAAATACTTGTGTTACTCAAGTATTTTTTTTCCCTTAAATGTAAATGATGCGGTTAATGAAGTACACAAATGAGAGCAATACCCTTGCCAAAGTTATTTTCGTCTAATCTACCCACCTTTGAGAGGAATGCCTGTCAGACTCTACTGTGTATGACATTTAGCAACCGGCAGACAAACACAAACTCGTGCGTACTGTGCATGCATATTCTGTTGTACTAGTTAATTGTGCAGCCGTGTAGTGTCATTTTTGGGGCTGTGACAGAAATCTATGGAAAGACATCAGAGGTGTGAAAGAATTCATGTCCCACTGAGCAATGCGACTCCCGTTCATCTGCCAGGCGAGACTAGAGCATCATGATGGCTAATGCGTGGTGGCTAACCCATAGTGGCTAATGCGTGGTGGCTAACCCATAGTGGCTAATGCGTGGTGGCTAACCCATAGTGGCTAATGCGTGGNCTAATGCGTGGTGGCTAACCCATAGTGGCTAATGCGTGGTGGCTAACCCATAGTGGCTAATGCGTGGTGGCTAACCCATAGTGGCTAATGCGTGGCTGCCATTTGCAAAAGTCCTAGAAAGGGACTGACTGTCGTACCCATGAGGTTTTGGGGTTTAATCAGTCATCCCCATTCAGCATCCCGCTGAATAAACGAGAGGGGCGTAAATCATAAGCTGTGTTACACAGTCATGAACATGCAAGCTGAGCACTTTGGATAAGGAAAATGTTCCATCAATCTTCTGACTGCTGTTCCAAGCCTGGAGCCTGTCCCAGGCAGCATACGGCACGAGGCAGGGGACTCTCTTAATGGGATGCCAGTCCATCACAGGGCACAAGCAAAATCATTCACTGTGGACAATACAGAGACAATAATTCACTGAACTCCATGTCAATGGAGTGCAGGAGTATTCAGAGCAAACTGTCTCAGACATGGGCTAATGTGCACAAACACACACACAAGGTTCGAACCCCCAGCTTTGGAGATACAGTCCTGCCAGATGAAAATTAGAGAAGTTTTTGGAGCCTCGGAGTCCGGCACAAATTAGATGTTTTTTTTTTTCTCAAAGTTGTGCACATCACCTTGAATCCAGCTGAAATGTGATATAAACATAGATCTTCCCAAACTAGAGAACTCTGTTGCATGTTCCCACCTCATTGTTGACTTGGAGCCACGTTGCAGTGATGGTATTTGCTAGCCTAGCGACTAGCAACATGACACCTGCCAAGGATTGTCAAGTGTCCTGCTAAGCACTACACAAACATAGCCGCCCCCACCCCCTCGTGTTCACGTCTGCTCTCGGTAAACAGTCAAAGCTGCGTGTTTGCTGACGGGGCAAAGCAAATAATAGATGGTGATAAAAGATAATCTTTGTGAGGCTGACGCAATTGGTTGATTCCTGCTGCGGTTCGTATGATCCGTGGTAAACACTAACGCTGTCTGCTCACCGGCTTCGGCTTGACTTGCCTTCCAGGAGCGAGGGGCCTAGCGGACGCAAGTGGACGCCATGACCGGCATCGGAGCAGAGGATGACGTCCCGCTCTGCGAGAGGAAGACCATCACCGACTTCTGCTATCTGCTGGACAAGTCGAAGCAGCTCTTCAATGGCCTGAGGTGAGACTCAGACGGTGGAGATGTTGGAAGATACTGATTTGGGGACAGGGGTGAGGGATAGGGACGTTGACCTTTGTATGACAGAGTAGTAACATCCATTGGTGAGTATGACCCAGAGATTTCTCTTGTATGTGTGGATATCTTCTTTCCTGTGCTTGTGTCTTTTCTCTGATAATTCTCGCCTTTCCCTCTCCGCCCTTCACTTTATCTTTCCCTTTTATGGCTTGCTTCTACCTAGTTGTGTCTGTATCTTGGTGTTTTTCTCCTCTGCATGTATTTTATGGTTCACTCACCCCTTTGGTGGGGACAGTGACATTGGGGAGAATTTTATTCTATGATATCCGACTGGGCTATTTTGGGAATCTGACGTGAGGAGTAGGGTGGGGGGGGGGGGGTCGCTGTTTTATGCTAAGATGCCAAGTATGATTCTGCGCCTACAGTGATTGACTGGATGAGTCACTGTAAAGCTGCTGTTTCATATTGGCGGCTTCGTTGGGCCCTTGTTTCTGTGTGCGGTGATGAGTGTGAATCCATCTGCTACTGCTGGCGTCCATGTGTATCCAAGAGAAGATTAGTAATATTATTAATAAACCCTTTGAAAAAACTGAAATGCTTTAGCAAAAATGCTGACATCCAACAGGAGAAGAAATGAAAGGAAAGTTTATCTTAGGCAAACAGAAGCAGTAACAAAATGAGGCTTCTGTGTCCTTCACTGTGGTGATGTTTTCATACGACCCTGACGATCCAGTATCTGGTTGCAAAAGCTGTACACAGTAAAGCTGCTTTCTTTAACTTACTGTAGAGTTGGTTTATCTTTCGAAGGATCTGAATCGGCTCTTTAACCACTACGGAATTTGCTGACCGTGGGGAGTCAGTTTTCCAGCAGTCGACATAAGCCCCGTTAACATGAAGTGGATTTACTGAGTCCACTTGGTTCAGTAGAGACACTGGCTTCCCTGAAAGCTGGCGTCAGCCTCGGGTGCGTGGCCTGCCAATGTCAAGGGAGACCAGCTAGACTTTCCTCTGCTCCGTACCACAGCTGTCCTCTACTGTCCCTCAGATTATGTACAAGTACCATCTAGTCCCTGTAACTGTAATATTTTTTTTTTTTTTGAGAAAGCAAGGTCAGAAAGTCTCTGAAGCCATCAAGGGCTAAAGGTCTTGCTCTAGTGAACAGTGAAACGACTGCGCTGACCCTCTGATTTGAACCATTGACCTTTTGATCGCAGACGCCGCCTGCTATCCCACTGAGCCGCTCGTCACCACTCATTGTGTAATTGCCTTTATTGTTGCACATAAAGGCATGTAATTAAATGGACAGTGAGCTCAGGGTGCTGACTGACTACAGCTGGAATGAGGCTCAGCAAGTGAAAAACGAAATGAGCTTTAATCCAGTCACTTCAAGCTGCTGCTTGTGCTCTATCTGAATGAGAGAAAACAGGAAGAAAAAGAGCCCCAAGCCCCCCCGTCCATCTTCTGTGAAATATAATGGGAGTGAATGGCATTCTTTCTGTGGTGATTAAACCTGCCAGGACAATACATTAGAAAAATACAACAGCAATGTCTATTAGCAAAAATTAGGATTCAGTTACTCAAGATATTCCACAGACTTTGTAGTGAGCAGTTTAATTTTGGAACTATTTTCTTCTACCGAATTCCACACACCAATCATATCACTGCACAGAAGACATACCTGGGCTGCTCATACTCGTATCTTCTGCTCAAAACTAGCCAACACTCAGCAGAACAACCTAGATGGATAGCACTAAAGCCCCCCTAAAGCACATCTCTATTTGAGTTAGGAATGCGAGCCGATCTCGCTTCCAGATCACTGTGCAAACACAGACGGCTGGGAGTGCGGGCGAACGCCAAACGCAGAGGGTCAGCCGGGGGCTTGGCCGGGTCCGCTGCCAGACGCAGCGCGATCTGCCGGCCTCCAGGACAGCGCCTACGCCTAGTTTGCTGGGGGAGGGGGGCTTCGGTTCACGACAGCTTGTTTTCTGCAGAGTTCTGTGGAGAGAGACATCACCCGAGAAAGGGAATTGGCTTTAGATAAAAGCACACGAAGAGCAGTGCTAAGCAAAGGTACATACTCTGCATTACATTTAGCAGACACTTTTAAACAAAGCAACACAAGGCCTCGGTTCACGGGCCTAACGCTGAAATCTCTCTGCCATCCCCAGATTTAAATCACCAGCCTTCTACTCACAGACTCAGCATGCTAAGTCACTGAGTACCACTACACAATAATACCAGTGGGATATAATGAAAGTTTCCACTTGCTGGTCAACTCATTAATGCTTTAAAGACATAAAAAATAAATAATCAGATGCGGGGACACATTATACAAAAAACACTATATATTTTTTTAAATCCGCATTCTTAAATCCTTGTTTAATCCTGGTTCTGCTGGCAGAAGGTTACACTGAGCATCAGGCTGCTTCCAGGCTCAAAGTTTCTAAGACAGCAGGACAGAAGAACAAGGTGAAACAGGAGACATTGGCAATAACTAAAAACCAGCCAGGCAGAGGGCAGAAGCCACTTTCTAATCACCATCAACTTATTGGGCAGTGCCTCATAAATCGAAGGATGACTTCAAGTGACCTTCAAAAGGAATGGGAAACATTAAGTGCAGGTGTGCTAGGACAGTTCGTATCAGACTCCTAGAAGCAGGACTGAAGTCCTATAAAGCAAGGAAGAAGCCCTTCATTAATGAGACACAGAGAGGAATTGGGCTGCAGTTTACATATAAATTACATATTATTCACAGATGCACACCCATAGACTGAGAAATGAGTGAAACAAAACATTGTGCTGTGGTCTCTTAATTTTTTCCATGGCTGTATCAGAGGGAACCCCACCAGTCTTATGCACATAGACCCGGCTTTGTTGTGGTGAGTTCCATTGTTAGCTTTAGCTTTAGCTGCAGCCTCAGACATGGGCGAGTCTTTTAACTCCGACCCGTGTGACTCATCAACATGTCCGTCTGCCGCTTCGAGGGAGTCCGCCATCCCCGGGAATGTTTCTCAGAGATAAGAGTCTGCTCCTGCCAGGATGGCCTTAGCCGACCTCAGACAGTAGGCTGCCACTACTGAGGCCCAGTGGCAGATGTGGCAAAGGGGGGGTTATTCCTATGTTTGTGTGTGTGTGTGTGTGTGTGTGTGTATGCGTATGTGTGTGTGTGTGTGTGCGTGCGTGCGTGTGTGCGTGTCTGTGTGTGTAGCACATGCAGGGGCATGGCTAGAGATTTTGGGCCCCATGAAAGCATATAATATTAGGCCCCCCAGTCCAAACCAATCCAGTTATTTTCCTAATTTTTTAGGGCCCCTGTCACTCAGAGGCCCTTGGAATCGTCCTAGCTTTCCTCCCCCTTACGGCGCCCCTGAGCACATGTATATATCACATTGTGGGGACCGGTTGTCCCCACATTGTGATAAAAACCTGTATTTTGACACCCTTTTGATCCCTCAACTCAAATTTTATAAAGATTTCTGAATGCAATCAAAAAAACTAAAACCGTATTGTATTTTGATTGCTTACTTATGGTTAAGGTTAGGGCTAGGTAGGGATTAAGATTCATTGATGGGATTAGGGTCATGCCCATAGAAATAAATGGAGAGTCCCCACAAAGATATAAATAGAAACGTGTGTGTGTGTATCCGCTCACACATGTGTCAGCGTAATCTTTCAGCTGCTGTTCTCCTCACTAGCCTCCAGATGTGTAGTCATGGCAACGGCCATGCTGTATTAAGGCATCCAAAAGTGGATTGGGAAAGTGGGATAGAAGCTCACTGTATTTCAGCAAAGCCCGGCTGCCATTTCACACGACTTTGAGAAAGACTAAAGTGTCATTGTCATTAAAGTCACAGAACAAAGGTCTCCTCGTGAGCCTTGTTACCAGCACATGGCCATATAGAGAGATTATGGTGCACTCTTTGGTGGTCTCTAAATGCTCTAAATGCTTTAAGCTTCCTACTCCTCCTCCTCTCCCAGAGACCTTCCTCAGTACGGACACAAGCAGTGGCAGTCCTACTTTGGCCGCACCTTTGACGTCTACACTAAGCTGTGGAAGTTTCAGCAACAGCACAGGTATGACACCCCAGAGATGACCGACAGGGGGTTGAGTGTACTGTGTTCAGGATTTATGAACTGATTTTGTTCTGTAAATGGAGGTTTGGTAAATTGGCCTGGGTATCTCGGTCAGTCATGTCGTAAACCCTTCAGTCCCGTTACTACGTTGACTGTGAACTGAATGGTGTTTCTGTCCCCCTTCCGGCTCGCGTCTAGCTCTCCTGTATGGTGATGTGTAACTGGCAGCGGGAGAAGGAAAGTGGTCTAGGGGTGATGTCAACCTCCCTTTATTTGAGGGGGTTTTTGGGGGATTTGTGTATAACAGCGTCTGTTGCACAAAAGCTGCACTGATGCACTGATGAACAAAAGCTATACCTTTTAAACATCTGTGGAGCTTGGTTAAGGATGCAGCCCTGAAGGTCACTAATCCTGACTGGCGCTATTTTGCCATTATCTGGCCTTGATCAGGAGACCTGAACTTCCTTATAAATTACTAAAAATGTCTGTCTGGATAAATGTATGCTGAACAACCAGAGAGTAAGTTCATCCCCTACATGAGGTCGCTGATGCTGCCCTGGATGTCATGACCTCTCTGCATGTTTCACAGAAAACATGTCAAATCCTTTCACCTCCAGGCAGGTGCTTGACACTCGTTATGGGTTGAAGAGGTGGCAGATTGGGGAGGTGGCATCCAAGATTGGCCAGCTGTACTACCACTACTAGTAAGAAACTTGTTACTCTCAAACTCACAGTTAATGTTATAGTAACCAAAGAGGTAGACTGTCTATAACGAGATGAATCTGTTCATCTTATAAAGTGTTCTGGTCATGTGATTGGTTCTAGTTTACGCACGTCTGAAACCAGCTATCTGAATGAGGCCTTTTCCTTCTACTCGGCCATCCGGCAGAGATCCTACTATTATCAGGTCAACAAGGAGGACAGGTGGGTCCCCTTCGGAACCATGCAGTGAATTCCTGCGATTGTTCTCTGTTCCCAGCACAACTCCCTACTTCTCCGTCACTCTGTCTTCTCCTAGGCCGGAGCTGGTGGTGAAGAAACTGCGTTACTATGCCCGCTACATTGTGGTCTGCCTCCTGCTGAACAAAATGGACCTGGTAAAGATGCTTGTGAAGGTAAGAGGTGGGGCTCAGTAGATTGCATAGTCTGTATGCTCCCCTCGTGATCCATAGTGGAAAAGCATTACATATGTCTGCTGTTGAGGAGACCTTTTTTATGTCTACTTGGAATTCACTGTGCGCCCTGGGCTCCTTGTACTGTACGGCTGTTAATTACGAGCTACCCTGAGGTGTGCTCGGCTGCGCCTGCATGCAGGAGCTGTCAGAGGAGATAGAGGAGTACACCCAGCGCTTTAGCACGGAGGACCAGCTGGAGTGGAACCTGGTGCTTCAAGAGGTGACCGCCTTTGTGGAGGTACTGCAGTAAAATCAAAGTCATACAGTCCTAGAGATTGACTCTCCCATACACTGACTCACACGGACACTGACACTCCCATACACTGACTCACACAGACACTGACACTCCCATACACTGACTCACACAGACACTAACACTCCCATATACTGACTCACACAGACACTGACTCTCCCATACACTGACTCACAGACACTGACTCACTTAGACACTGACTCACACAGACACTCCCATACAGACAATGCCTCATACAGACACTGACTTATACAGACATTGACTCTCCCTGACACTAATTCATCCAGACACTGACTGTCCCAGATACCAACCCACACCAACACTGACTCTCCTATACACTGACTCACACAGACACTGACATTCCCACACACTGACTCACACAGACACTGACTTATACAGATATTGACTCTCCCTGACATTGATTGATCCAGACAGACTCACACAGACACTGACTTATACAGATATTGACTCTCCCTGACATTGATTGATCCAGACACTGACTGTCCCAGATAACAACCCACATCAACACGGACTCTCCCAGACACAGACTCTCCTGGACACTAACTCCCCCAGATACTCACTCTTCCAGACATTGACTTTCCATGACACTGACTCTTCCAGTCACTGACTCACACAGACAATGAATCTCCCAGGCACTGACTTATCCAGACACTGACTGACACAATTTTGACTCACCCAGACACCAACTCACACAGACATTGACTCTCCCAGACCCTGACTCATCCAGACACTGATTTCATCCAGACACTGACTCTCCCAGACACTGATTCCCCACTTGTGGATGGATCTCAGTGTAGGGATTTACAGTTTAGTTCTGGCTGACAGTTAGACCCTTGGATTTAGTGAGAGTTGCATCTGTAAGAGAACTGGTTTTTATTTGAATTTAGACCATCTTTACCGCATGTCTGTGTGCCTGTGTCTGAATGGTTGGATCTGTGTGTGTCTGGGTGTGCGTGAATTTGTGTGAACCCAGGCGGACCCAGTGATGATACTGACCAATGACAACGCGGTCGTGATCACATCCAACCGGCTGCATGAAGGGGGCGTGCCCCAGCTGGAGCCGGGCATGGTGGTTGGTCAGCTCGCCCTGGCTGACGCGCTCATCATCGGCAACTGCAACAATCAGGTATCCCACCAAGGCAGGGAGGTTCGTTGTGATTGTGAGTGGGGCCTTTTCTCAGAAGCTGTGCACAGTGAAGTCCTGCAGAAACATGTGGGCAGCACTGGAGCAGAAGACCTTTCCCTTCACCAGGTGAAGTTCAGCGAGCTGACCATCGACATGTTCCGGATGCTGCAAGCCTTGGAGAGGGAGCCGGTGACCCTGGCAACACAGTCAAACAAGACCGGCACCCTGGTGAGCACAGCACATGTACACACACACACACACACACACACACACACAGAGACATAGACACACAGACACACAAGTTGGTGTACCTATCTAAATGGAGACTAGTCATTTCTATGGGAAAAACCCTAATCCCAATCACAACACCATTAACCCCTACCCATCCCTAACCTTAACCATAAGTAACCAACCCAAATACCAGACTTTTGGCATTTTTACTTTTTTGATTGCATTCACAGATTTTTTATAAAGCTGAGGTTATCTAAATGGGGACCTCAAAAGATGTCCCCAAAAGTAGAGAAATTTCAGTTTCAGGTTACACTTTGGGGACAATTTGGTCCTCAAATGTGTTCTATGCAAACACACACACACAGACATAGACACACACATATTCTACAAACACATATTATACAGACACACACAATCTATAGATGCATAAACTCTACACCACACTCACTATCCAGACACTATCCGGATTCAATCGTAGACCACAATCATAACCGTGAGCTCTCCTGATGTCCTGCAGGAACCCAGTGAGAAACCACCTAAGCGGGAGAACCCTCACAAGTACCTGCTGTACAAACCCACCTTCAGCCAGGTGTACACCTTCTTATCTGCATCCTTCAAGGTCAGTACCAGCTAACATGCAGTTTACAGTGCCAATTACTATTCACTTATCATGCCAATTACAATTGCAGTAGCAATTAGGTCTATTGTGTCAGTTCCAATTGCGATGTTATTTCATGTCAATTACAATTACACTGTTGACTACAATGACAATTAAAGTTCCAGATATAATGATACTTATAAAGGCAATTATAAGGCATCCACACTGCTACAACAGAAAAGAGTATTCAGGTTTTTAGCTGCCTACAACAGTGTAGGCAGTTGCCCGGACATTGGGCCGTTATGAAAGAAGACAGTCGAAAGAGCAACGTCTCCATTACTGGAGAATCCGCTTCTCTCTCTTCTCTCCCCGGGGAACCTTCCTGTCACCGGAGTTGTAGCATATAAATGGGCTCCTGCTCTGTTGCCATAGTGTTCCTGTTCCCGTCTCTCCTCTTTAATATATATTCTCTTGCTCTCTGGATCTTAAACACTTTCTGGACAAATTTATAGGGTCCGCTGGTGAAATACTTCATTTTAATTGTATGCTGTAATTTTTTAGCAGTTTTACTGCCAAAACTAGGTGATAAAAATGAGCCTGATTCTACCTCTTCAGACACTCACATGTACATGTAGAATCTGTATCCTGATCTGTGATTGAGCCTGATTCTACCTTTTTATACAACCACACGTATGCGCAACGTCTTTGTAACCTGGTCTGTGATTGGGCGATGTTTGCTGTTTCAGGAGCTGCCAGCGAATAGCGTGCTGCTTCTCTACCTTTCTGCCACTGGAGTCTTCCCCAATGGACGCGGCGAATATGACGGTATGCTGTAGCACATTCCGGCCATTTCAGCTGTCCTGCACCCACCCCAGGCTGTGGAAGACCAGGACTCAAGCTAGTCCCACAATCCTCATTTTCTGTCAGATTTCCACTGCAGTGCGTGTTTGTTCGGTCATTCTTTGGTACTGGTATGGCACTGTGTGGTGCAGGAGTGAAGCCTCCACCCACTACTCCTGGGCCACAGCCTCAGATGATGGACTACTGCGGCCTGCCGGCCATGTGGCTGATCGTTAGCGGTGGTGCTAATTAGCCGCAGCATGTGAGCTGTCACCCGCTGATCCTCCCTGCCCTTTTCCTCCCTGGCTTAGGTTCACAAGCTTCTCTACATGGCTCATCTAGGCCTCACTGTTATTTTTCTTCAGTTCCTTCTCTGGTAGTCAGAAAAAAGTCCTTCTTCCCCATGGTCTTCCTCAGGGACTGTCTGGCAGGACCATGCAAACGCGGGCCCGTGAGAAATTCTACCAAAATTCTACCCCCCTTCTCCAAGACAAAGCTCCAATTATCCATGCTCACACGCTCATGGGCGCCCCCTAGAGTCTGGGCCCCTGAAAGTCTCCCCCCTTATGGGCAGCCCTGCTGCCTGGTGGAATTTCTGGCGTCTTTAACTGAATACATCAGTTGTTTTTATCCTTAGTTGATGTAGCCTGACATACTTTTCCCTCTGTGAGACCATTTGTTCCACTGGTGTGGATTTGAGTAGGAGGGATACCTGCAGTGTCTATCTATACAAGATGTTCAAGTATGTGCGTCCCTCTTGGCAGGGCCCTACGACCTAGGGGGTGTCCTCACCAGCAACAACCGTGACCTGGTCAACGGGGAGACGGTCCAGCGGAGAAACCAGGCAGAGAAAGAGATGCACTGGTGAGAGAACGAGGCATGGAATCAGCCACAGCAGACCCAAACAGAGCACCTGCACCTTTGCCTCGGGCAAAGCATGGTGTGGTATAGAAAAGCAGCATTGAATCATGGGAAATAATGCTTCCCTTCCCTGTGTCCATTGTTTACGGACTGTTTTTATCTGTGACTTGCAAAGCATGCTGGTCGTTGAACCTGTACAGAAAGCTGAATATTTTTGCTCAGGCTGCTCTGGTTGGGGGTACAGCAGCCGGTTCCCCCAGTACCCTGGTGACGCGTCTCCCTTGTCTATCTCAGTCTCCATCCAGGTGACCTGTATCCTTTCACCAGGAAGCCCCTCTTTGTTATTGTGGACTCATCCAACAGCATGGCCTACAAGGTGAGGGGGACACGAGCTATTAACCAATGTGTATGTCTTACCAAAGAAACACTTTTATCAGATCTTAATTTATAATAATTGTTTTATTTATATTTAGTTGCTTAGGGGATATCTTTTCAAAGCAACTTTAGTGGATATTTAACTGGATCAATTAATGTCATGAAACTTAAAAAAAAAAAAAAAAAAAAAACCTTTGGTAGCTGTAGTGTTTTTCAAAATAACATCATCCCAACTATGAATTGTGACTAATGAACGATTTGTCCAGACGCCACCTTGTGTTCAGCATTAAGTATTGCAATCTGGATATATCCTGGTTTTATATATCAATATATCACCTTTTCGTATAAAGCATTTTCTAATTGATATTTTGATATTATGTGCCTTACAGAGGCAAGACCCCTAGCTACCCATAGCTGATGTGTTTTAACCCATCAGTTTAAGTCCAGGGTATGAAATCTATTTACCCATTAGTAAGTTTAGCAACAAATTCCGGTATCATTCCAAAAGACAATGCCTGTACATACTATCTAACAAGCACATATTAAAATCCAGCACATAAGGAGTGCAGTCTGTCCTCCTATTCTGTTATTATGTGCAGAAGTTACTGAATGGGACAGGACCATCTGTGCAGTTACTCACTACTTTTTGTGTGTTTTCTTTCACCAGAATTTCTTGAATCTTTTCGGACAGCCACTGGTGTGCCTGCTGTCACCCACAGTCTATCCCAAGAGTCTGCAAGGTGACTGTAGTGTTCATGCACTTTTAACTGTTTTATTTTTCTGGAGTGCAGGGTATGAATTTTAGTACCGTTTTGTGGTGCAGCACAGTGGCGCCTCCTGGTGGTGCAGTGGTTAGAGCAGTTGCTTCATACTTATGGAATGTACCCAGAATCTAAGTGTTTGGGGTTGGCATACAGTTTCCCCCCAACTGTCCAAAAATATGCTATGGTGCAGTGGAGTTGCTGAATGGTGTGTGTGTGCCCTGCGGTGACGTGGTGCCCCATTTTGAGTTTTTCCCTACCCTGCACCCATAGTATAGAAAATTATTTTGGCAGTCCTACCAGCCACTGTATAGCTGATGGTATGGTCAGAGCCACTGTGGAAGAATGCAGGTCTTACTGCATTGTGCAGATGTGGGATAAGACCTAGAGTCTGGCAACCCTGCAAGTGGGAGTGAAGGACAGCATTGTGCTTCTCTGTATGTGTGGCTTCTTACAGCAGTTATTTAACATTAAATTTAATTGAATTTTATATGTATAGCACAATTTCACATTACATTGTCTCAAAGCACTTTACCTTGTCCCTGCCGAAAGCCCACAGTGAGCAAACCAGAGGCGACAGTGGCAAGGAAAAAACTCCCTAGAAGGAAGAAACCTTGGGAGGAACCACACTCAAATGAGCCCATCCTCCAGGGGCCAGCAGAGGAAGTCCAAAATAGCAAAGTCACAATTTATAAAGTAAAACTGTGTATAGTCCATGTATAAATGCGGAAAGTGCAGCTGATGTCAGGACCGGCAGGTGAGGAAGCAGTGTAGCAGTGTAAGGAATGCAGTGGAAAGGTGTGTGAGTCACTTCACTGCTTTGGGTGTGAAAAACCAGCGATTCAGTCCCCAGTACAGCTGCTTCATATTTTTTAGGGGTGACATAGACTAGTCAGTGGAGTGGTGAAGTCTGTAGACTGTGACATTGTTTTAAGGTACCTAGGTGTTCTCGTTCGATTTCATTTTAAGGATAAACTTTTCCTCTAAGCAAAATCTTTGTTTGCTTCCTGATTTTTTACATTGTAAACCTGCACTTAGTTCTGGCCCCTGGCCCTTGAAGTATTATCATGAACTGTTTCTGTAGATTTCCACATATATTTGTAGAAAATTGTTTTGCTTGCTTGTCACCCCAAAATAATATCAATATTCAACACAACTCATACTACAAATGTGCAGTTTCCACCTTACAAAAAAACAAACTAAGTAATCTTGAAAACTGTTGTCAGTTCCATACGACTTACTGGTAGATATTGTAATATGTATAGTCTATTAACCCCGCCCCCTTCTTTCTATAGACCAATCACAGCGTGGCAGCCTCTTCACGCTCTTCCTGTACAGCCCCATAGTGGCCTTCGTCTCTGTGTGCGGCCTCAGTAGCCTAAGGCAGGGCCTGTGGGAAAAGGCCCAGGAGTTCCTGCACCTTGTGTACCGTGAAGTGGGCCAGATGATCACCCGCTCTCGCAGCATAGGTACCTTCCCAGGTTGTAGGTCCTCGGGGCCCCATCCTGAGTAGCTCTCATAAATTGCCACTTAGTGGCCACTTAGTGTTTAATCTAAGAAAGAACATCTAGTTCACAGTGTTGGGGAAGTTACTCATGAAAGTAATTCATTACAGACAGAGGTGGAAAGTTCAGGTCCAGAAAGTACAAACCCAGACCAAGGTTTTGTTTCAACCAACCAGTTGAGTATAAAGAGTCACAGTCACAGAGTACTCAACTGGTTGGTTAAAACAATACCGTCGTATGGATTTGTTCTTTCAGGACCTAAACTTTCTACCTCTCTCTGTAATGGATTACTTTTGTGAGTAACTTTCCCAACACACTATTTCATTCTCTTAATTCTCTTTCAGACCAGGCCTTTCTGCAGTTCTATGGGGATGAATTCCTGCGACTTCTCCTCATCCGCTTTGTCTTCTGTTCAGCCGTCCTGAGGCTGCACAAGCTCTTCCGGGTACGTTAGCATGTTAGCGCATTAGCATACACGTGCTTTTTTTTGGTAGGTTAGCATACTAGCGCATTACCGTACACAAGCTCTTTCAGGTACGTTAGCATGTTAACACGTTAGCATACACAAGCTCTTTCAGGTATGTTAGCATGTTAGCGCATCGGTGTACACAAGGTTTTTCGGGTATGTTAGCATGATAGCGCATTAGTGTACACAAGATCTTTTGGGTAGTTGTCCTATCTTAGCAGGTGTTGTCCTACCTTATTGTTTGTATTACTTGTTTGAGGTTGTATGGATTACAGATACCCCCCAGAAGTCCTGTATGCTTTATGCTTGTCTTTCCCTCTGCCCAATGCAGGATTCCCGGAGTTACCCTGAGTCCTACCCCCAGCTTCCCAAGCCGGACACGGTTGAGAACAGTTTGCTGCAGAAGCGTGTGCTAGAGCTGGCAGCCATGTTGGATGTGCAGTCACTCTTCTACAGCAACACCCTAGATGGCTTCTGACAGCCCTCCCCCCGCCAGTTCCCTCAAACGCTCTCCGAAGGGGTGTTGATGGTATCGAACATTCCTAGACAAGAACGTCCAGTTTATTTGATCATTTTCTCACTAGACGTACATTTTTCTACTTTTAAAAAGAGCTGATCATCTATTTTTTTAAAACATGGTCAAACAGTTTTATATTGCACCTTCTTAGAATTTGGTTCTAAATGTACATAAAAATACACTTTTGTTGGCAGATACTAGAAAACAAGTAGCTGTATCGTGTTCTGTCAGCATAGCGACTAACATTGGATTGTCATGGGGCAGAGGTGTACTCCACACGCACTCTCAGATCATGGGTGTCGGATTTCGCACGGTGTTCAGCTGTGCTGGGTAGTAACATTTCCTTTGAGAGAATATGTTGTAACCCATCTGCACGTGTGTGCTGCAGTCAGGAGTTACCCACCTTTATCCCATTCTTACATTATGGTTTTAAAAATACTCATTATGGTAGCTGAAATCTGCTCATCGCTTTAGGGGTTTTTTTCCCCAGAATTATTTCATCTCCTTTGTTAATGAACCTGTTGTATTTACAGAAGAAGTTTTGAACCCCCCCCCCCCCTGCCAGAAGTTAGCCTTTCTGCAGGGGAAGCAAGATTAATCTTTGAAGTTCTTCACAGTGATTTGTTAACTGTCTGGTTTTGTGAATATGGGTAACTGCATTGGGGATGCTGGCAATTCAGAAGAGGTCATGTGTCACTTCCTGCCAGACTTACAGGACATGCAGGAGGCCATTTACTTAGAAAATGCACTTTTAAATGTTCCTGGCTGTCGGTTAGAAGTACCACCCTCTCTCCTGCATGTTTGTGAATTAGGTACAGTCCAGCGTTTACGGTGTGCCAAGCTTCTCACATTTGTCACGTGTGATGTAGACAGGCTGTTTTTTAGCCCGGGTAGCAGTACAGTTCACAGGTGAATACAAAAAATATGTGTATATGTAGATAATATATATATTTCTATATATGTGGGTGTCTTAACTGTGACAGAATCTAGCACAAGTGTCTATGGCGCTGTTTTTGTGAAGTCCGACTTTGACGCTCTAGCTAAAAAATACCGCTTCCAGTGGTGCGCTCCAGACATCCCCCCCGTCACTTATTTGCTCATTTGCATTGACAGTGCTACACACACAAAACTTCATATATCTTGTCCAATAGTAAACGATGAACAATGAGTGGTTTGCACGTTTTGAGATTTAAGGACAGGCAGCGCGTACAGATTGCGCCTTTCTTCTTTGGGTGCGCTTTAGGCTTTGCTACAGTGATAGCACAGGCTGACCCAATGACATGCTAAGGAAACACTCACGGGGCGAGTATATTGGGAAAAAGTGTGGATTCATTTTATATACACCTGCAGTCTTTAACCTCCACAAAGCTAATCAAGTCCATCTCTGCTTACTTTTGGGGACATATGCTTTTATATAATTGCGACAGCTGAAGTCCTTTCATTTATTTAAAACCTGTTGCAATAGATGTTTTTAAGTTTTTAAAAAGCGATATTCCTCATTCCCACAATAATAATCACTGCCAGACAAAACATTCCTTTGACGTTTGATTGTAAAATAGGAGATGACACAGTTAATAGAACAAATATTAGGGTTCCAGAACAGCTGTGGCTAAAATATTTGCAGCAGAGGGCAGAAAAATGCACACTGTGACCCAACATGGCGGTCTAGCTAAACACTAGTGATGGCCAAATGAAGCTTCATGAACCAATTGCTGTATTGTCTGACACCACTAGATGGTGCACTCTATTAAAAAAATTCATGGGCCAAAGCAAACCAAGAGCGCCATCTAGTGGGGTCAAAAAGAGAAAATGGTTCATGAAGCTTCTTTAGCTATAACCATTGAATGTCAATAAAAGGGACGCGTGTCCCTTCTTTCTGTCGATGCCAGTGCACTGATACTGACTGGCACTGGAGCCACTGTGTGGGAAGACTGTAAATGCCCGTCTTGTCTACAAACAAATGAGTTGGAGGTCGGTCGTTACAAAATACACCTCCGGATTGACAATTATCACCGGTTTAACTTAGGTTTAACACATTTTACTGTACACTTAGAATGCTTAAGTGTATATTATACCGGTATCTTTTTTTCTATATTAAGAACATGGTTAAAACACGATTTAGCCAGGACCTAATGTAATTGCTTTGTCAATATCAGAGGCATGTTGTAAGTTAAGTTGTCTTTGTACACGTGTTGGTCAAAGCCGAATCTTGTTAATTGGTTAGTAAGGGTGTTTTGCTGAAGGTGTAAAACAGAAGCTAAAATGTCAGAATACTCTTTCTTTATAAGCTAAGGGATTCTAGAGCTTGTAGTTCGTCATCTTAGATCGCTCTGTTGTCTGCCTTCAGAACAATATTGTCTTAACTGTCACCAAATTGATGTTGTTATTGTTGTTTATTTCTTGTAATGATGTAATAATATGAAGGATCAAAATAAGAATATCTGTAATGTTTTTTTCATAAAATGTTTTCACTGAATGCTTTTAAAAATAAACATTTAATATTGCTTAAGAAAGTTATTGTATCCGTGTTTTAAGATGTATCCTACACGTAAGACTTACGTAATTTGCAAATAATACGAAAAATTTGGGAAATTTTTACTGAACAACAAACACGTAATTGTTAGCTGGAGATCATTAAATTACAATATGAATAATCAATTAGGTTTTCATTTAACTTCCGATACATTCATTATTACCTGGGGCTAGATAATCACCATCCATCACCGTAAAAGCTGAATCCCAACTGGGATCGCGTGGGGGACCGGAGCCTATCCCGGGAACAATGGGCGCAGGCAGGAACCAATGGGCTAGATAATGTTCCGGTTCAGAACAAGTAGCTTTGCAATATTTTCTGAAACAACGGGTTACATAATAAATTGGTCGACACAATCCACACGATAGGATTGTGCATTCCTGGTGATGAGAGCTGTAAAACAAGGAGACGCTTTCAATGGCATTAATACTATTCCAAAGTGACTGTTTGGAACATCAGTTTTCATACAATTTATTACATCTGGTCTATAGTAACACACAAATCATTGAACACGCGCAAGCGCAGGCATGTAAATAGTTAAACTACTCTTTTTAATTGACAAGAAGATGAACGAATCGCATTTTGCACCGCCCCCAACTCACGCACGGACCAATGAGCAGCGACTTCAGTTACAAGGCCGTTTCGGAAACGTCAGCACTGTCGCGTATGTGGGCTTTGGAGATGCGTAAAGAAGTTGGAAGGAAATAATAAATTCGGTGATTATTCGTGCTTATGGAGTAAACTGACAAGCAATGTTTTTTACTTTCGACGACATTTAGCAACGCAATGGATTACGTTTTCAGTTTTTCACTTTCTTTTCGGAGTTCGTGTGGTAAGCGTTCTTGTAGCTACCTTTACCCGTTAGCTAAGTATCCATTAATTATTCAGCCGGGCGCTACAGTTTTTAATTCCGATAAATGTGGCGATTAATGTAGCAGTCCTTGCCATCGTTTAAGTCATGACGCTGTGAATCGAAGCCAGTTTCCTTGACTGAATGTGTTTTGAAACGTTGCGGCTCACAAAGTTAGAAAGCGATAGTGTATGGGAGTGCTAGAAGAATGTACCATTCTTAAAGCCATGCTTAATAATAGAAATTATCGATGGGGTGACAGACAACCTGGCGTTAGGATTCGGAAGCCGTTAAGTTTTGAGCGAATTTATTCGTCAATACGCAGCCGCATCATATAATGGACACGCATTGTTGTGCTGAAATGCTTAGTGGGCTGAAATGAAGACCGGTTAGTGTAAAGAGTGGCCCTGTCCGTTTTAGCTGCCAGTGCTAACTATAAGTCTGACCGATTCCACCGAGTTTAAAATATATATCCCCTTATCTGCCGGCTAGACGTGTTCTGTCCTACACGAAGACACTGCCCGGCTGGAATAATGTTGGACTCCACGTACATCTCACTATAAGGGTAATATTCTGCGGTTTGTGTCACGGTTCCGTGTTAGAGCTGGAACTTAAAATCGGGACGAGATTCTTTTTCCAGTACTAGTATTGTGTTGAAGCTGGGGAGGTCGAGTTGTGTCAAGGCCTTAAGCTGGGATACTGGTCTTTTACGGCCCGCCTCCTAAAAAAAACAGAAAATCATCTCATTGTATGTGAAACCGGCGATTGGTAACCGGAGCCCAGTTAAGCAGTCAGTCATTTCAGCGGCGCTGCGCTTCCGGGAATTCGGTACACCGTCGCGACGTGACAGGTGGAAGCATTGATAAAAATAGCGACTACATTGTTAAAAGTTCGTAAATGGTCATGTGAAACTGGTTTACTTCAGATTGCCCTATTGTGTTTACAATGCATTATACACAACGTGGACATCGTCAAGTATTGAAGTCCATCTTTTAGAATAAACAATTAACAATAAACAAAACGAATATTTGTTGATTTTCTTTGGTTATATTTTACAGGAAATGTCGTTCCTATTGTAGTCTAATTATTCTACAGTTTCCTTTTGCAGTTGTACTGTTATCTTGATTTACTATTGCACTGTAAGGTTTATGTGAATGAGGTGCAAGGTAATACTTTTCCCCCCAAAAATAATCATAACAGCAGTCGTAGCAGATAAACATTAGATGTATTTCTGGTAGATAATCGACTGTTCTAATTCTCTGCGTAGTAATGTTGCTCCTCATTATACGCTTCCCCTCTGTGTCAATGGGTGTCATTAGCTGTGTGCGGTTAGTCAGTTTACCTTCCACATGGATTACCTTTGACAGACAAAATATTAATATGTGGAATGAAAACTTTTTGATTCACGTAACGTATAGCTTCCATCCTGGCCATTCTGAGATACTCCTTTTAGACTAAAGTGTTATGGTTGACTCTAAGTGGTGTTTTGATCTGTTGTAGAGAACTAAGAGGTGATGAAGATGAAGGATTTCTTGTTCTGTGGATGGAACCATAACTGCAGGCCAAGCTGTGAACGATAACTGCCCCACCTGCCCCGCTCCGCCCTCAGAAACAGATCTGTTTGAATCGTGAGGCGACGGGCAGTTGGGCAGCCCGCGGGGGCTGGAAGGCTGTGACCTCATTATGTTTGCTAAGCTGAAGAAGAAGATCGCCGAGGAGGCGGCCACAGCCCCCCGGTCGGCTGGCCGCATCCCCCGCTCCGTCAGCAAGGAGTCCATCACCTCCGCCGGTGCCGACTCTGGCGATGACTTTGTGAGTATCGCCGAGTTCCCACATGACTCTTAGTCCGGATGCTGTTATACACCTCCAGCTGTTTGCAGGTGCGCGCTTACTGAATGTGTTCGGGCTGGGTGCCTTTAATCCATGGTGCTACAGCATTTACTTCCCAGTCTTAAAAACAATGTGAAAGATGCAAAAAAACTGAGGGGTGGTGGGTGATTTTGAACTTTGATCTGTTGTTTCGAATTTGTGAGCTTCCAGTGTATGTTTCCTCTGTCAGCTGCGCTTTGAGTTTATTCTACTGCTTCAGTGATTTTATTCATTTAGCTGATGCATTTGTCCAGAGTAAGGAAAGTTTTGAGTCAGAGAATAAGGTATACCAACATCCTCTGTCCTGCATACTGGCTCAAGGGCCCAGTGTTGATACTCTTACTGTCCTGTTCTCGGGACTGAAACCACCAACCAAGGGCACTGATTGAGCTACACAGTGCCCCTAAGTCCTGATTTTGTCTGTGTGGGTCTTTCTCAGAAGACTGGCGGTTTGAGGTTCCTGTTTTCATTTTGAGGCTTACAGCTCTGCAGGCACGGACCATTAAAACCTCAGAAAAGTTTGCTGATGTGATTCCAACTTCCCAGTCCCTGAGTTGCAGATTTGAAGGGAAATGAGAGCATGTCCCCCCCATGGCCCTGTGTTTGTAGTGTCACACTGCTGCCTGTTCGGCCTTGTTCCACTGAACTGTGTCCCTGTTTGTGAACATCCACAGTATTTCAGTGTTGCTGGGATCCATCCATCTCCATCCAGCCATGACTCTTCCATTAATCTGCGCCATTATCCATCACGGCCATTCCTGTTACCCCTTCCAGTCTCCCTCCATAATGCAGCTCCACGTGGTGCTGGGATCAGAATCGGAGGAGAGGCAGCAGAGGCGTGGTGTGGCTTAGTGGGTGGCACTGTTGCTTTGTGCCTTCAGGGTTTGGGGGGGGGTCTAATCCCTCCCTGGCTCCTTGTGCTACAGGCGCCCCTGTTACCAGGTTAAGTGGTCAGAAGATGGATGGATGGAACTCAGTGATCACTTCAGAGCTTGTGGGTGTGATGCTTGTATCCAGGGTCGATATGCCAGCATCCTTCCCACCGTCTGCCTCTGAGTCATGACTGATGTAAGCTGCCCCCCTCCTGCCATTTATGTTAATAAATAGGAGGGATTTTCAATGCTTCCCTGGCTGCCTGAGTTTATCCCTGTGAGGCATCCTGTCCTGAAAGCCCAGCGTTACCCAAAGCCATTCGCCTCCATAGTTCTTTGCTCCTCGTCTCCCGGTTTTCCTCCCTGTTCCCAGCCATGGACCCGCTCCTTTAGCCCTGGGCTGCCCTTTCTGCTGCCCGTCCAACCCTGATTTATGGCCTGCATTGTCTTTTATCTCAGGCCGCTGTCATTTCGCTGTATAATCTAATCCGCATGTGCTTATCTTCTGTGCCCGCAGAGTCGTTATTGCATTACTGATCTGAAGCTAAGAAAAAGATTAGCATGACATTTTATAAGCTCTTTATTTTTCATTCCTGTCGACTCCAAGTGGAATGTTATATCAGTAAAGCCGTCAAATCGATATTGTGCATTTTGCATATTTACAGAGATTTCTTCTTCAGGAAAATGTGTTTTTCAGCAGTCATCCAAATTAAGATGAAGTATGAGGGTCTCAGGTTTGGTTCTGTATGGTCATAGTACCTGTCTAAAAGCCATGAACCATGTCTTGCTCTTGTAACACTTATAAACGGGTGAGAACAGGCATGAATGAGAGCAGTGTTGTGACTTTATGCCTCCTGTATGTCGTCCTCCTTTCGTAGGCCTCTGATGGCAGCAGCTCCAGGGATGACCTCTCCTCCCAGCTGCTCAGACGGAATGGCCAGATCCGCAGGCTGGAGGCCAAGCTATCAGGTGTGGGGGCGGGGCCTCGGCAGAGGTGTGGGGGCGGGGCCTCGGCAGAGGTGTGGCGGGCCCGTGGATTGCTGCCCATCTGCCAGTGACCTCTTAGTCACAAGGCAGGATGCTTATGTGGTGACTGAGAGACCAGTTACCTTTGCTGAAGGCTTGGGATCCATCCCTGAAAGTTGCTTCCCATCTGCAGTGTTTAAAAGACTTAAACCTCTCCTGCTAGGACCATATCCCTCCCCAGCCCCTTCCCCCAAAATACCCCATTGTGGTCCCTCAGATACCTGTCTGTGTGCCCCCCTCCCAGTTAAGGCCTGGCCTCACATAACCTCCTAGCTTCTCATTAGGGAAAAACCTTTTGTTTCTCTGTTCATTTTATTTTGTGCTCACTCATGTTTATTCTTTCTGTTGTCTTTTTTTTTTTTTTTTGCTTTTGGACCCCCATCCCCCACCCACCCACCCCCTCCTGTTTTGTGTGTGCGCGTGTGTGTGCGCGTGTGTGTGCGCGTGTGTGTGCGCGTGTGTGTGCGCGTGTGTGTGCGCGTGTGTGTGCGTGGTTCCCTTATTCGCCCACCTCTTGCCCCCAGACTATGCTGAGCAGCTTCGAGTTCTGCAGAAGACTAAAGAGAAGCTCGAAATCGCGTTAGAAAAACACCAGGATTGTACGTACCCTTACTTTTCATTGTGTTTGTTTGTTTTTGTCCCTCTCCTCATTTGTCGTCCGTTAACAATACTTTCTGCTTGCTGGTGCTTGGCAAGCAAAAAGAACGGAAATAAAAGCTAATCGTGGCGGCCGATGCCAGCATCCTCTGACACATGACGGGTGTTTTCCTTGAGTCAGTGGAAAGGGTGAGCATCCTGTGCCGTGTGACAGCAGCCTGAGGTAAGGATGCAGTGGCATCTTGGCTGACCTGCTTCTCCCCACAGTTGACCGACGGCACCTTGGGGATGCGACGGCGCCATGAAAGGCGATGCCGACCTTAATTATTCATTGGCTGCCATGTCCTGTGCTTTCCGACAAAATGGCAGCCATTTGAAACCTGACCTTTGACCGCTGAGATTAATTTCCCGACCGCATCCATCATTTTTCTCAATGGGGGGTGGGGGGGTGCATGTTGTCGATGCCACCTCTTGGATCCACTTGACTCCTGACTTAAAAATTCCGACAAATCTGCGTGCAGGGAAGAGAAACTCCCAATGTGATTTGGTGATAAAGGCAGACACTTATTTGAAAGCTACATGAGGGATCATGACCCAGCCTGTCCCCTGACTCCCCCCCTCCCCCCTCCCGGACCACTGGAAATACCCCGCTGCAGCTTTTGGGCTAATGCTGGCTATAGGAGTGCTAATAAGCCATTAGCATCGGATGTGTAAATAAGGCTATAAGGCTATTTTTCCTCAAAAAGGCCGTGTGGGCAAAACCCATCACATTACCTCCAATAAAAAACAGAATACAGTCTTTGGCCGCACACATGGCCGTATGCGATAATCCCCCTCCGTATCTCCCTGCTTCTCCACAGCATCCATGAGGAAGCTACAGGAGCAGAACGAGAGCTACCAGGCCAGCAGAGCCAAAATGGCCGAGGGCATGGCCCTGGCGCTGGCGAAGAAGGATCAGGTGACGCTGCCACACACTCGGATCTAGTTCCCTTACTGCTTGCATCTGCTCGGCTTTGTCCTCCATGCGTGCGGGCGGTCCACATGGAGCATGTTTGGTTTTTCTAGCAAGCATGTGTACGCTGTAACTAAGCTGGGGGGAGAGCTCTCAGTCAGATATTCAGGGTGCTCACTGTGTCTGTGCTGTTTATGGTGTTCTGGTGCTATCTGATCCAGGTCTTTCTTTGTAGGAGTGGATGGAGAAGATTGCTGCTTTGGAGAAGGTAAGTCTTCTAATGTTTTTTTTTTTTAATCCCTTACAATCCATCCAACCATTCATCCATCCATCCATCTTACAGTCACTTACCTTAGTCATGGGAGGGGCCTGGAGCCAGTCCCAGGTAGCATAAGGCACACGGCCGGGTATGCCCATCCGTCGCAGGGCCGATTACCCACGGACACGCTCTGTGGGTGATTAGTGAGTCACCCCTCAGCATTGACGCACTATGAAACGAGATTACAGGAGTTTTCCAGGATAAACGGTAAACTTACTTGGAGGGATCGTTCCCGTTCCCAGTGGGAACGTCCCGAAAGCCGAAATGCGATATGATTTGGTGAAATATTCCTTATTGGTTTTAGTGGAATGTCTGTAGAGGCGACGTGCCGGGCCTCACCAGCCCCCCCCCCTGCCCCTCCTCCCACCCGTGCGGGCCGCAGGAGAAGGGTGAGCTGTCCGCGCAGCTGGGCGACCTGACCGAGCAGAGCCTCAGCCTGTTCCGGAAGAGGGACGACCTGGACGAGCTGGAGGGCTTCCAGCAGCAGGAACTGGCCAAGGTGAAGCACATGGTACGTCTGATACGGGTCGGGCCCCTGCCTGCTATTTTGGGATAGTTTTGGACTGAACTCCAGCTTCAGGGCTGGGAGCCCCAGACTCGGCACTGCTTTTGCCCTTGAGTAAGTTACTTGCGTGTTGAGAATAATCGGGACTTTTAGCAGTCATTTGTTTTTATTATTTATTCAGTAGAAGCATCATACATTTTTGAGAAAGCAGGTTCAGACAGTCCCTGGAGTAATGGGTAGGTGGGAGGTTAAGGCTTTGCTCAATGGCCTAGTGGAAAAATAGCTCTGCCGACCATGGGATTTGAACCAGCAACCATCTGATCACAGGCGTGGAGTCCAAACCCACTGATCCACACCCCATCACCCATAATTATCATTGTAAAAGATGGAGACTTCACTCTGTCCCCAAGCCACTGGCAGCTTTGGATTCATAATATTCTGACACTTGTGATTCTGACAAACCAGCATAATTAAAAAAAAAAAAAAAATTATGGGCAGTAGTCTGTGCAAGATCCAAATTTAATGCTGAAATACCAGCATCTGTTCATGTCTATTTAATTGTGTGCAAGTATTACATAAAGGTAAAGCAATTTAGCATTGACGTAAATGAACTTTAAAGTGTGGAGGAGACTCTTTGGAACAGTCAGGTAATCCCCATTCCTTAACCACCCC